CAATTCCTAACGGAATTTGACGTTCTTGGGCTCGTTTTGAAGCTAATAGAGATGTTAATAAATTTACCGATTCACAATGTTAAAATATTGGCCTAAACACCGGTCATAAACCGGTTAAAACCGATGCAGACCGAAACCAGTCTATAGACCGCAAAAAACCGCGGTCTGCGGTCTTTTTGCGGTCCGGTCTGGTCTTTTGACTTCTGGGGAAAAGGCAGACCGGTTACGGTTACGGTTAACGCCCCTGGGTATAAAAAAACCGGACCAAACCGGACTTTCAAACACTATTGCAGGTTGCGAAGGAAGATTCTCGTCACATATATCTCCGCCATGGTTGTGAGTGTAATTAGGGATATCAGAGAGACACCCAGACGCAGATCTCATTTCCATACTGCCCATGCACGCAGGGACAAAATTACTAGGAACAGCCACCATTAGGCACATCACATAGTATAAAACAAAGAGAATTCGCACCTTCGGACAAAGTCATGCCAAAAACCATCAACCCTATGATACAATGAGCCAAACGACCACCTTTGAAGAGAATGCATACATCCTTGTATCGTTTCAACGATATGGCAGCCATACGGGTTGATATTAATTGTAGTGCTTGGAAGTCCGGTCTCAAGACTGCAAAAAGACTGCAACTGGACTGGACCAAGACTGCAAAAGACTGGACCTGCAGTCTTGGTCTTGCAGATTTGAGATTAAAAGACCGCAAAAAGACCGGTTAACGTGGACCGGTCTGGCCGGTTAAGACTGGTCTTTTGTACCTACATAATAACCCTTCAAAACGCACCTAAGATCATATTTTTAGGCCAAAAACTGACAAAGATACATATAAAATAGTAAAATATTTCGTGAAAATAGTAGATGTACCTTGGTATTTTTGTAGATACATCAATTCTCAACGGAATTTAACGTTCTTGCACTCGTTTTGAAGCTACAAAGAATCTCAATAAATTCACCGACTCACAATTGCAAATATTATTGCATATTTAGTTGACAAACCGGTCTTGAACCGGTTGTAACCAGTTTGGACCAAGACTGGTCCAAAGACCGAAAAAGACTGCAGTCTTGGTCTTTTCTGGTCCTGGTCCGGTCTTTTGAGGTTTTAGGAATTGTGTGGACCGGTCTAGGTCTCGGTCTTTTCATTTTGGGCCAAAAAACCGGACTGGACTGGACTTTCAAGCACTAATTAATCGCCAATTGGTCTAGAAGAGAAAATGGTGAAAGTTGTAAAGAGATAGAGGTATTCCATGTACTCACAAGTTAGACAGAGAAAAATCGAGTCACAGAAAGGCAGGTATCACTGAACGATATAAAGCACTTCCATTAACCCCCATGGCGATGACCACATAAACTCGATCTCCATCCCCAACGTCAGTGAGCAGTCGTATACCAACAACATCGCCGCCACAACTTCGAAGACTCATCAGCTTTAGAAGCTCGAAATCGTATCAGGTGGCTCACCATCGAATGATTGTTCTTCTTTCGTTAGAGGGGAAGGAGGACTTTATAGGCATATAGATACGCACCGTAGCAAGTTGTTCTTATTTGCGAGCACTGCCATGTCTAAGCCTCAAGGTGATGTGGAATTGGGATCAAGGGCGGAGAATGGGTCCTGCTCAGTACCTTGACATGATATAGCTTGTCAGAAGAAGTGGGTTACCAGAATCAAAACTGCAAACATTGCTGTGTGACCATTATTTTTGACGCTGGGACAAGCTGTGATGATCAAGGGCCGAGGTGCCAATCCCAGACTCAACGTCGTCATGTTCAGTTATGTCACCACCCTTTCACCTTCACATTAATTCTGCATAATTTGAATCAAGTGGGAGAAACATGGACTCACTTTTGTTCTGTTTCTTTGGCAGAAACCGATGCAATGAGAGATGATAGGCGCTGAAGCCACTGAGCCCATGCATGCCGATTCGGGATGACTAAAGATATGGCAGCAGATAGTAAAGACTGAAATCCGAGGAGCCCATGATAAGGGCCAGGGGTCAGGGGGGGGGAACCATCTGCGCGAAACACTGCTGCTCAGCTGGCCGGTGTCCTTAAGAATCGATAGACGACTCTAGCCCATTCCATACAATCAACATTTCTTTCGCACCACATGTCTATAGGACCCCCGAAAATCCTGCTAAATGGTAGATACCAATCTGGACAGAATTTTTCAAAATGAGGCGCTAGGATAGATACAAACTGGACAGGTTTTCGAAAAAATCAGCAAAATGCTAGATACAGAATCCGGACAGGCTTGCGAGAAGAATCAGAGGCTAGATACTAACTGGACAACTATGGTCACATAGCTCAACGGAAAAAAAGTATGTACTTTATGAAGCCTGACGTGTGGTCTGCGGTTCGAACCTTTTGCTGCACAAAAAAATTTGGCCCTGACTTGGGCTAGATACGCAGTTCGGACAACTTTTCGAAATTTTGGTCTAGGCTAGATAAAATCCAGACAGACTTCACCAAAATTTGTACAGACAAGAATCTGGAAATCGGCAATTTCAGTATCTATCATTTAGCAGGATTTTCGGGGGTCCTATGTCTATCCGGGAATAATTGAATACTAAAAATATGTCACGGAGTGCCTGCGTGTTGCCTCAGGCCTTTGTGCATCGCCCTTGTTTTGTTTGATTCGAGTGCAGGGTCAGCACTGTCCCGTTGGGAAATGACTGGCAAGAAAGAGTTCCTCTACAAATTAGAATGGAAGACGGAGGTAGAACCTCAATTGCGGGTGTCACAGTCTTGGTAATTCTGCAGTTGTACATATGTAGGTTTTCAGAGACATGCTGGGCAATTTCCACACCTTGTGCTTCAACCCCTCCTGGGACAGTTGGTGGCTTGTTGTTTGATGTATTTGATGCATGTGCGTTGGGTAAATGGCAGGAGTTGGAGTTTCCTGGCCACGATGTGTGCAGGTACCTTTTTGTGCGTCGCACGAACAGGGTTATGTACTTTTGGGTGTGGTGGTCTTCCTGTTTGGCTTCAGTCAGATGAAAATTAGATGAAGGGGAATGGTGCAGGAGCTTGGCAGGAGCTCACATGCAAAGGTCGAATGTAGAATGTTCATCTTTCTGCCCATGCACTTCAAAATCAATCTACAGCAGCATGGAAATGGCGCATTTGATGCTTGTTAAACCTCTGGTTTACCTGTTCATCCATCTGATTTCGAGGACAAGTATTAGAAAGGAACGAGTGAAGTTGTTTTTGGAAGTCAGGACTCGACTCGACTGACCATTCCTACTACTAGACTTCTAGGCCTCGAGTCCTCATCATATCCCACCTAACGTCGTAATTCAATCACTTCACTTGCCACGGGTTATGCGTATCTGTCATGATGTCTCAACGTTGCCATGCAGTCGGCCAAGTCACCACTCTCTCCTGACCTTCTAGGCTACAGTGCCCAAAGTTCGTCACGCTCAATATCACATCAGGTCGTCAAAGACCTAAATTTTACAAGCAAAGGATGTAAATGACTCATATGGGGAGAGAAGGCTGACTTACATGAATTGCAGCTGAGCGCCGATTGCTGGAAAAGTTTACAGTGCTTTCAGAGTAGGATGGGAAAGTGTGATTTTTTGTAAGCATGTGTGATGTATGTAATACTAATACGTACATTTGCGGACAAACAAAGACAACAAATTTATTGACCTATTTCTTGGGACTCCGAAAAACATCGGAATTGGTAGATAATGGTATAAATGGGTTCCTATTGATCTCCTTGATCAATTCCAACAAGCAGAATTCCCAGAAATGACGATATAAGGGTTTTATACCCCAAAAATTTGGCCAGTGCCTGAAAAAATAGCTAAAAATACGAAAAATATGCCAATCAACTCCTTTTTGTTTCCTCTCTTTGATTTCATCAAAGTCTCCCTGAAATATCGATGTCTTCGATGGTGGGAATTTTGCTAAAACTGTCATGTGGGCATACCCTTTCCAGTCAAGGTGCCCCGGAAAAAGATATAAATGGACCCTAGTTCATTTTTTCACGCATCTACTGCACCAGGGTTATAAATTGCACAGAATTGATCCAAAGATGGCCAACTCAGAAGACTTTTGGGTGTGTTGAAAACACCCAAAAATTTGGCCAAACCAAAAACACATGGGAAAATTAAGGGAACACCTTTTTTGAACAGTTTCGAGGTCTCTGAATCTGAATCTGAAGTCAGAATTTTAATAAAAATTCTGGTTCTCAAGTTATCAAATTTGATGACTTTGTTTGTCCGCAACTGTATGTAGTTTCCAATTTAGGAATCGTCTGCCTCACACTGCCTACGCGTTGCCTCGCCCTTCTGCTCACTCTCTCATCCCCCAACACCATGGGGTTTCGAAAGATAAGCTCTGATATGGAGGAGTGGGCTAGGGAAGGCTGAAGAAGGCGAAAAACATGGTTCACCCCCAATTCCTAAAAGGGAAACTATGTATGTCACACACGCTTACAAAAAATCACACTTTCCCATCCAAGGGGGGAGCGGGATTTGAATCTGCCATATGGGTTAAAATTTTTCTATTTTAAGTACCAATTTTGGGTAATTTACAGGCTGGGTGAGCTCAGATTGGACTGGTGCACTTTCTGAGGTTTTTTGCATGCTGTCCTCACTTACCAAGTGGGATATTTCCTAGGATGACCCTTCAGAAGCATTAAGTGCTATTTACACTTAGAAGGATTATCCATTTTAAGAAACCTGGTATACAATATATGATTTGACAATATTTGAGACAGCAAAATCATTATCTGGCAACATTGTGAGGCAAAAGTCCCTTCATGCATGATTGGTCTTCAAACCTACTACAAGTGACACAAACAAGGGGGTTCAAGAATTTAAAAAAAGTAGCTGGGGTCCAAGTTTTTGTAAGGCCCTGTGTGCTTGACCTACCTACCTACGTAATCAGGCACATGCCTATATATGGCAATATGACATCACCATCATGATCACTCTGATCCTCTAAGGCTTCGCATACCCAATTTCATGGGGCTATCTCCAATGCAACACATTGTAGGTGGTACTAAAAAATAAGTGAGTGTAGTGATTAACCAAGCCATTGCATTCTGAAGTGCAATGCCACACCGCACAGGTATCTGTTTAGAGTGTCTGATGTGTTGAAACCATTAAGATGATTCGAGTTTTGAAATCAGGTCACACAGCATACCCATTGGTGTCAAGAACTGGTGTCTAACTGTTTTGTCAGTAAATTGTGATTGATTAAAATATTAGACAAAAATTTGATGAAGATTAGACTGTGAAAAACAATTTTGAAGCCAGAAATCGGGCTGGATATAATGAAATATAATATCCAGTCAAGATAATGTACTATACAATGATATTTTACATGCTGGAATACTGTAAATCACCTTGGAAAACCAATTTAGGACTATCTCATAGAGGGTTCCAAAAATCTTTTTTTCGGCCTACAGCTGACCTACCTACCCAACCCCCAGTCCGGCATTCAAATCCCTGAACCCCCTTGGACACAAAGGAAGTAAGCAATGCACTGAGAACAAGCAAGAGAGCAAGAGAGAGAGAGAAAAGTGTGCAAAAGCAAGTGGCTAACACAACACCCAAAAAATGCCCAAAACATGTGATTTATTTATGGATTCTACCTATACAGTTGAAACCCTTGTAACCCATACCCTTCTGTGGACAGTCCAGCCTATGGGTTTTCGGAGGTTATGGGTTGGAGGGGCTGGGAAAAAAGTAAGTGCTCAAAAAAAGCATGGAAATTTTGCCAAAATCTAATATTCTTTGTTTGCTGGCTGCAAGGAAAACAATCAGCACCACTGGGGCAAGTCATCATTGATGTATTTCTACTCAACAGTGTTGACTTTGTGATTTAGGGAAGCTTGATCTGGGGAGGAGGGGGATTTCAGAGAATTTGGTGATCAGTAGGTCAATAAATTTGGTGTTGTGGTAGATTTTATTGAGCATCACGAAAAAAAAAGTGAAAAATGCCGGTTTCTATGACCATTTTTGGTAGGTATAACCCTAACTTAGGGTCCAAAACCTATGGGTTTTGCCCACCAAGGGCTATGGGTTATGGGTTATCACGGACTTATGGGTTATGGTGTGCAAATCCCTGCCCACCAACTTGGTGGATCCAAAATGGCATGGGATTTCAGGGGTTATGGGTTATCAGAAGCATGGGTTACGAGGGTTTCAACTGTATATGGAAGGTTATTCACACGCCTGGCTGGTTAGTCCAGCCATAGTGGCGTTATGAAAAAAATCAACATGATATATTAAATTAAAATTGTGCTCCCCCCTTGTTCCCATCCTAGCTGTAAGTTGGAAACACAGCATTTACAAATGTCTGTTATGGGTTGTTGTCAAAGACTTACCTTGTTTTCTTATCTTATCTATATTTCGCCAAGCACCAGAAAACTGCTGATGAGATAACGCGATTGTAAATTTCTGAACGGAATAAGGAGTCTGCGAATATTTTCAACTGGATCTGTGAGCTGCTATTCTAAAGTACTTCCGATTGGACAGCGGATGTCGGCGCCTGCTTCATCATTAGTGTTTAAAGGTTCAGTTCAGTCCGGTTTTTTGCCCCGAAAACGCGCAACCGTGGACCGCAACTGGTCCAGGACCGACCCAGATATTGAGGGAACCGAACCGAACCACCTAGGACCGGTCTTTTGCGGTCCATGATACCGGTTCAGACCGATCCAGACCGGTTTTTTTGCATATAATTTATTATACCAATATAAACCATTTGTATCTCAACCATTATTACTCTGAAAAATAAACGGGTTATATAAAATAGTAAAGCATATAAATACCCGTCATTCTACCAATTTTCAAGAGATGTAATGAAGATTTGACATAGCTATGACTGAAACCGAATTACATCTCATAGAGACTTGGGTAAAATATGGATTTGGTTATATCTTTCTCAATTCTTAACCGTTTTTGATGAAACAAAAACCCAATAAAAGGCAATAAACGTGGTTACAAGGCTATGTAACGCACGTGACCGTTTAACCGGTTGCAACCGATTAAAACCGGTCTTTGAACGGTTTTAAAAGATTTTCGAAATGAGGCAACCGGCAACCGGACCAACCCCAAATTGGGGCAACTGCAACCGAAAAAAAGACCGGACCATGGTCCGGTTCAGCTCGGTCCACCGGTTTTTTGCGGTCCTATGGACTGAACCTTTAAACACTATTCATCATGATGACTATGTTTCGATTGTGCTGTTCCACATATTTTTGATAATCCATGCAGGAAGGCGGTGGATATTCTTAGTGTTTGAAAGTTAAGTTAGTTAACTGGAAAATAACCGGAAAATAACCACAACACTAACCTAACTGCAGTTAGGGTTAGTTGATTTCGAAAATGGAATAACCGGTTATTTTGCGGTTAACTAACCGTTAAATAACAGGTTATAACCAGCCCTATTATACACCTTCAAAACGCACTTGAGAACGTCGAAAACGCTCAAAACTTGACTAAGTTACAGTCAAATCTCTAAAATATCACTCAAATGTGTAGACTTTCAAGGATAATTGCATAAATATGTCAATTCTTCACTGATTTTAGCGTTCTTGGGCTCGTTTTAAAGCTAGAATATGCAGAAATAATATCTATCAAGATACATATGAGCATATTTTACCTTGTTATAACCGATTCTTTATTTTTCGGTCCTAACCGGTTAGTAACTGCAAATAACCGACTGTAACTGGTTAGGTTATTTTAGGTTTTGGGACAAAGGCTAACCGGTCTCGGTCTCGGTTAGGGCCCCTGAGAACCAAATAACCGGACCTAACCGGACTTTCAAACACTATGTAGATCATATTCTGACAATACTTAATAGGACCCGGGACAAAACTGGGTGCATGGGGTAGAGGCCTAAGTACCAGAACAGTTCAAACAAGCCATGACAGCAACAGACTGGTATCAATACCATCTAGGACACGCAAGAGCAAAATACCATTTATATCGACCAAAAATCAATCTTCAAATGAAGTTATGTACCAATACATTTGTCAAAAAGAGAAGAGGACCATTGTAGTATTTGACAACAACGGAAGATATCTCGTCGACATAGGGGCAGAAGCGCTGTGCAGGTCTGAGAGCATGCCTTGAGGGCATCTAAATTAGTAAATAATCCCAGAGGAGGTTGATAACGACTTCGATGACTTTTAGAGGGCAGTTGGCAAAGGACAACATGGTTTGGACACACAGTGAGGATGAAAACGTCTTTCACACGGTTTTTGGCCAAGTCGAAGAAATCGGGGAGGTGACTGGCAGGGAGATGAGAGGCCCTTACTTGCCATATAAGTAAACGATAATGGATTTTCAATCTTGGGCATGCTTTACGGTACACACTCATACAACACTCGTACACGTCACTCTTTTTCAACTTTTCTTCAAGGTCAAAACCAAGTCGAAACATGTGAACTGAATGGTGCACCTGTGCAAAGTCTTTGGCCCCCAAATACAAGCCCGCTGTTCCCTGCATATTTCTATTACTTTGCTTAGTAGTTTACTCAGTTCTTCGACTGGTCGAGGTCGTTGTTCAGAAAAAGCCGATCGCGGATGATGAAATTCATGAAGCTGATTGGGTTGACTTCATGACTTCTCATGATATAAGGCACAGTTGTATCGGCCCTGAAGTCAAAATCACTCATAAGTATTTCCATCCACCAACATAAGATTTTGGCTCCCCACTTTCCGCTGTCTAAAAACAGCATCCACACCAGAAAGATGGTCGCCCCCGCAACATATACTGAGATAGCCATATCTAAGTAAGTGATCATGATGGAATCGTACGCATGCGTTTATGTCGAACACTCTAGCACCGCACCTCTTGTTCGTCATTGGAAATTAAAATTTCTAACGCAGAAGCTTACTGTTGCGTCCAGCTTATCAGTACTATCATCACTTGGTTTTTGTCCGGGTCATTATTGGTGCAATGCTGTGTGTTTACTTCACTCTATTTCTTAACACCAATACATCCTCATCTCTTGCGGACATCAGGAAATTGGCAAAGACCTATGTAGGCCTATGGAGCCTCCATAGTTTCCGGAGGTGGGTAGGAGGTAGCCTGATATGGAGGCTACTGTAGGTAATCATGTGTATATAGATGCGATGATAGGTACCTGTAGGTGTGATATCACATAGGATATTTGGATCAGAGGTTGCGATAGGAGAATAGGTCATAATATTGTAAGCATGTAAAACTACTTGTGTCTAATACAAAGTAGTTCAGTTGCCTAAACCAAATCACCATCCTCCTCGTCCGAAAACACAACATCATTATATTCCTCCCTAGCTGCAACAAAGTCCTCAGCACCAAGTTGGATAGGGCGTGCTGCAGTGGTGTCAATGACACATGTTTCCTGTTGGTGGCTGAGTCTCAAATACGAACAAAAGACAGAAAGATCGAGCTTACCGTGGAACGATGTTGACGAAGACAGGGCATTACCTTGTCTTCCTTTGTGTTCTCATGGAGATCCTTCAGGTGCGCCTCGTATTTCAAGTTTACTCTGACCATACCCTGATATGCTAAACTTCTTTTTCCTCGCAGGGCCATCCTTCAATGCGTTGAAATCGATGGAACCATAGTGGTGAGCGCAGAGCTGACGTTGATGACCCAAGCCTTCCCATTAGGAAGGGTCTTCGCACTTGACAGGAGAGTAGGGAGAAGGAGCTTTGTAAAGTAGACATGTCCTAAGAAACACTCATTAACCCCCATGCAAATGACATATGGTCTTTGAGACCTACCAAGGAGAATGGTGAATGTTGTTCATGGGTAGTGTTTGAAAGTCCGGTTTGGTCCGGTTTTTTGATACCCAGGGGCATTAACCGTAACCGTAACCGGTCTGCCTTTTCCCCAGAAGTCAAAAGACCAGACCGGACCGCAAAAAACCGTGGTCTGCGGTCATTTTGCAGTCTATAGACTGGTTTCGGTCTGCATCGGTTTTAACCGGTTTATGACCGGTCTTTAGGCTAATATTTTAAAATTATGAATCGGTAAATTTATTAACATCGCTATTAGCTTCAAAACGAGCCCAAGAACGTCAAATTCCGTTAGGAATTGGTGCTTCTATCAAGTAAATTACATTTTAATTCATATCTCTCTCGTTTTTTTACCAAATTGTACGTTCTTGGGTGCGTTTCAAAGGGTATTTAAGGGGCTACAAAAGACCGGTTCACGTTAACCGGTTTTTTTGCGGTCTTTACATCGCAAAAATAAAAGACCCTAACTGCAGGTCTGGTCTTTTGCAGTCTTTTGCAGTCTTGGTCCGGTCTGGTTATGGTCTTGGTCCGGTCTGGTTATGGTCTTTTTCCAGTCATGAGACTGGACTTCCAAACACTATTCATGGGAACATCTGAAATTCTTGAATGTGGTCTCATCTGATATTGTGTTGCAGTGTTCATCGGCTGAGGGGAGAGGAGCATTAGTGTTCTGAGAAGGAGGGAGGCAAGGGGGATCTACACATGATGAAGGGGTAGAGGGCACCCGATTAACTGACAAGGAGAGAATGACTTACATGACGTAGCCACAACCGCTCCAATCGATGCCAGCTTGACATGTTGAATCCGCTTTTTCCGAGGTTGAAATAGGTAACTCGCGCATGTAAGGAATCAGGATGGTGGGGTGGGGAGAAGGAAGAAAGGGCGCGAAAATTGCTCTCTCAACAAACTCGAACAGTGTCACATGAATATGTGATCGTGTTATTCTCGTGAGGGCCGGGCACTTCAACTTGACCAAAAAGTCTGTTACTGAGCAGATATTGCGGGTCCTCGTTCATCTCCATTATTCCCCACTCTGCACCTCTTTTGTGTTCATCAAATCCCACATCCAATTGAGGCTCCATCGAAGACTTCCTGAGCAAAATAATCCAAGGTGCGGTCATCGCCGCCCCAGCCTGGTTCTCTGATACCCGTGCCACACTTGAAAAGGCTGCATCGGATGCTGGGAGGTGTTTGTGCTACGACTACTGTGCAGAAGATTAAGGTCCTGCTTTGAAGCAAGGTGCAACTACTCTAATCGACATTTATTTATTTTCTTTTTATGTGAAAATCAGCTCCGAGAATGCCATTGCGTTCAGTGTATGGCAAGGGCGGCTTGCTCTTTGACGGTTAGGTGACCCAGTGATTCATATAGTGTTTAACCCTTATTTGACCCTTATCGTGGCAAACAGGAGATTGAACCTCAAAGAACACAAACTATCGGAAAGCATCAAAATCTGCAGCTGTTATCGCTAATGTAGGTGGAGATCAGATCAATGACAAGTTGATCAAGTTTTTCACTGCCGACTTTACGACAAAGACCAAAACACCTTGCAGTGTCACTCTGCTCACCTCAGCTGCCATCGACACCCACGAAGTTGACGAAATCATTTACATTGGTGGCATCATGCGTCTGCCTGGCCTTGATGAGTGTATCTTCCTTGGGGCAGGCTTCATTATGATAGTATATACATAGATGAAATAGTATTATAATTTCTAGCATCTTTTCAATGTCGCAACTTCTAAGTTAAAAAAGTATACGTAGGTAAAAGAGTAAATACCAAAGTCAAAGATGCATTTCCGAAGTGAAAGTTGACCATGAAGTGGAAATAGTTACTCAAAGTCCCTGACATCAAAGTCTAAGTTACCAAAGTGCAATGGGACGTTTTCCTGTCAGATGTATTTTGAATACCTACACATACCTACAAAGATTGCTGCCACCACTCGCCACCTACATAGACCTACAGAGGCTATGCTACCTCCATAGAACCGCGTGATCTATGGAAATATACCAGTTTCCTGATGGATTTACAGATGATTTCTTCTGCACCAATCATTTGAATGGGGACTTGAAATCTATCAAAGTAGCAGGTGCGCATCATTGCGATTTTTGTTATCTCGCCTTCATATACCAAATATTAGTTTGGGTATGCCTCACCGTTGATCAGGTGCGGTCGATGGCTGTGACTGCGGGTGCTTAGCAAAGCTTAATAGTTGCATGGGGAAACCCAACAATTTTCACTGGCCCTTCTGTGTTTCCTGTCCTTACAATACCACTCACTGGGATAGGCGAGTCTTCCACTCAACCGATCCTTCAACGTCCTGACTTCGCCATTGATAGAATCCTGCATTGTTCAGATTTTCTTTGCCTGGTGAGTCCTCATAAAACCTCGTTTTCACGCATGACGTCCAACATCCTTATAGGCGAATATGGACCCTGAAAAGAGAGTTCAAAATCTATCGAATTAGTTCAAGCATAATCTGTTTGGTTAACGGCCTTCCCTGGCTTGTTTTACATGCATTGAACTTTTTCTATGTGGCGTTTATGCAATTAGCGGCTGCGATTGCCCGTGGAGTAGCAGTACGTGATTCATAACTTCATGGCAAAATTTTCATAGATTTGATAATACTGTACGATTATGACCGAGTCTTCGCGTCACGCATCACAGAGCGGTTTGAGTGAAGGGAAGTGAGCGTGATGTCACGCATCACCTCAGGTTTTGAAGTCCGTTTTCTCGTAGTCTAAAATACCAATTTTTTCGAGCCTGCGGTGCTCCTAGCTGTGTAGACAACACTAGGAATATTTCAATTAATTTCTAAGGAGACCTATCCCATTATCGAAGATTTTCCTTCAGGGACGGCCAATTCTTGATTTTCTGAAGTATGGATGAAGAGATTGTACTCTTGGTCACGCCTCACATCAGATGTTGAAGTGACGAGTTGATCGAAATAGGTCACGCCCTAAACGGCCTGAAGAGTTGGTTGTAATGGTGTTGCACAATCCTCGGTAAGTGTGATGACCAGTGACATGCCGTGACATGGTGTCACAGGCCCAATATCTTGAGACATTGAGTTTGTACTTTCCACAGCACCTATTCAATATATTTTTTGCAATGGGTTTGATTGAATTAAGTGAATGAATCAACTGGGAGAGTTTTCCCTGGAGAAATTGCATTTATTGCTCCAAAAATGCGAAATCAGTCTGTTTTCCCTGCCAAATGAGGCAGTCTGAAGAGATTGGACTATAACTTTTCAACAACAGCACGTATGAACATGATTTGCAGACGGATTTTACTTAGAATTCAAATTCCAATCGATCTACGGATCCAGAATTTTTATTTGTGGCACCTGTGCCGAGATACCCTTGAAAATCAGCACTTTTACATGGTTAAAGGCTAGTAATTAAAAATATGGACCCGTAGGATTGTAGCCACATAGTAATCGATGATTTCGTCTCTGTAAACCTAAGCCCAAATCCTATCTGTTGTGAAGCTCATAGCTCGAGGAGGCAACCTTGGGCCAATAGGTGCTGCACAGCCACTGATCCAATTCCAGAATGGGTTTGCACAACATGTGGCATCTGCATGGCACCCTCATGCATGCAGGAATGTTGCTGGATTTCTTGGAGACAGCTTCTTTACACTTGACCACCACCTCAACAGCCTGTAGACCCAAAACACCCCCATTTTTTTGTGCTTTTGCCTGCTTTTTTCCATCAAAAAGCATCCAAGTCCATACTACAAGTGAGGGTTTGTGCTTGAGCTTCAGAAATGCATATACATCTTATTATTGTTTTGCATCTAGGATCTATTCAGTAATTGAACATCTGCTTTAGGTATAGATATAGGCAGATCATTCAATTCAAGCATATAACTATATATTTTTGCAGGTATTGTTAGAACTTAGTACCACCCTTGTCACCTCTCTCTTCCCCTGGGTTTCATTTTTTGCTTGTCTCTCTTTCTCTGTGGTTGTTCTCTCAGTTATTCTCATCTCTAGTACTACTCTTGTCAGGAGATTCTTTGCCTTTCTCTCTCTGGGCTTCATTCTTGTTTGTCTCTCTTGCTCTGTGCTTGTTCTCTGAGTCTCGGTAATTCTCATCTCAGGTGATTTCTGCATCTTGGCCACTTTGTAGTGACAACGTCTCTGGCTTCACATTATGGCACCATTAGCATCACGAAAACGGCAGGCAGCAGTAGCTAACTTGAAAGCACAGGAGGTTCTCAATGAAAAGAGAGCTGTATTGGCTTCAGAGACTGCAAAAGATGATCTCTGGATTAGCTTACAGGCTGCAAAGTCACGAATTGAGGAGCTGGAGAATCTGCTTGCTGACAGAGACACAGAATGCTGCAGACTTGAGTCAGAGCTTGATAAGGCTAATCAGAAACTGCAAATGCATAAGGACAACTCTGTGCTTTGGCAGGAAAAGCATGAGAGAACATATCATGAGCTTCGTATGCAGCGCCAAACCTCAAAAAGAGGGCAACAAAAATTGACCCAATTACAGAATCAGGTAGAGATCCTGAAGACTGCAGAGAAAGAGACTTCTAAGCAGCTTTTGAGAGGCTCTCGTGAGTCACATAAGGCTATTGCATTACTACAGAAGCAGAATAACACTCTCCATAATGAGCTCTCTATGTCTATGGCTAAGTGGACCTCACAGCTTGAGAAATCCCATGCCAAGCTTGCTAAATCAACCTCTGATCTGACAACATTATGAAACAAAGCTTCCAAGTTGCGCAAGGCAGTCAAATGTGGTAAAAAACAAAAGGAGCAATCAATAGCCTCAGTCAAGAAGAAGATCTTAGACCAACGATCAGTTCACTATTTAATGCAAAAGGGTGTCTTCACTGAGGAAACACACAATGTTGTCCGTTTACTTGTCAAGGCTGGCTGCTCACGAAACCTTGTTGGTGAGGTTATTTTGGCTGTCCTCAAATCTGCAGGAATAACAGGTGTTGGCAGTATCAGCCACACTTCTGTTTCTCGATTTCTTCATGAGGGATATTTTGCTGCACAAATTCAGCTTGGATATGAGATGAAAAAAGCAGAAAGTATGACTTTCAGTGCAGATGGTACAAGCCATCGTAGCATCAACTACAATTCCCGCCATGTTCATCTTATTGCTGAGGATTACACTTCACCAGAGGGCAGTTCAAAGCAACAAGTAACCCGAACTTTTGGAATTCAATCATCAAAAGATGGATCTAGTGAAGAAGCTATTGCAGACTGGGAGAATACTCTCAAGAAAATTATTGACCTCTACAATGACAGTCCTCTTGGAAAGCGCTCAGGTGGACTTCTCAAATTTATTGAACTTTTGATCAAACTTGCAGGAATGAGCACTGATCACTGTGCAAAGGGAAAAAAAGATGCCCGATTGCTTGAAACTCTGAAAGCTTGGGCTGTTGATCAACATCTTGGAGAAGAAAAAATGTTAGAAATGACATTAGAGGAGGTTCGTGACTATTTCAAGAAAGCAGAAGAGGAAATGATTAGAAAAGCTGGTGGGGTAAATAAGTGGAACAAACTGTCTGACATCAAGAAGGCTGAGAGGAAGGCCAAAATGATTGAAGAGGCAGTTGCTGAGTTGGGAAAAGAAGAGTTTGATAATCTCTCTGATGAGGAAAAACGTATTTTCTGGCTCTTTATCTGGGCTGGCTGTGGTTGCCACAAGGATCTGAACACTATTCGGGGAGGGTATCTTGCAGTGGCAGCTTGGTGGATTGAGAATGGGCTTGAGGAAGAACGCCCTGTCCTTCTTGCCAATCGTGATAATGATCCTGTGGTTCAAGAGCGAGCCACTGCTCTTGAGAAAGGTGACACCCTAACACCAGCTCAAGAAAGAGCTTTTCACAAATCAACACGTGGTGCAATTAAAACTGCAGAAATTGCAGGTGCAATCTTCAACAATAAAGACAATAAAAGGGGCCACCATGATATCTTTCGTTATTGGTGGTGGGAACATGTGGGAGTTCCATTTACATTTCCCGATACATCCAACAATAGATTCCAGTCATATTGTAATGCTGCTGCAGCCCTTATTCTCTATGGAGATGAATTCAAGGATTTTCTTGAGAGTCTACGCATCAACAAGCAAAATCCAACACTCAATCACATGGAATTAAATCTCTGGAAGGCTCTCCACTGCACTTCAACAGTGACTGAGCTTGCTGTTCTTGCAATTTATGCTGAGGCTGTTTCATACCCATATATGAAAGCAATCCGTACTTCTGATGCCCAAAAAAAGAACATGCTTGACCTTGGTCCTTTTCATTCTCGTGTCTATGATCATATGCAGAAAATCATTGCAAATCCTGACATTCTCATTGGAAAAGACCTAGACATTTCTGAATCATACAAAACAGCTACTCTAGATGGTGAAAAGTGGCAGAATCCTGCAGTTGTAAAGAAGATATTTGACCTCATCCCTACACTCCCTCACTTCCACAATCTTTTGATTGCATTTTTCAAAGGAGCAGCACAAACATGGGAACGTTTCACATCAGAATTTGCACCTGGTGGCCTAATTGATGAAGCAACTGCAGAGGAAAGGGAGCTTGCACATATGCCTGCAACAAATGATGAAAATGAAGGTCTGCTAGGGTCTTTCCGATGCCTCATGCACTATCAGCCTCAGCTTACACTTCTCAGTTGCAATGCCTTGATAATGTTTTTCCGCAATAACACACAAGCATTTATGGAAACAAAGTTTACTGAGGAAGACTATCAGTATATACATAAACTTGGACGAGAGGCAAATGGGGAGGAGAAGAAAAGGCGCAATGAACTTACTGATTTCCGTGACCAACGACAAGCAAAGAAAACTGCACGCAAGGAGGTTTGGGAGCAAAATGCAAAGGCAACTGCAGAACGGATTGCACAGTTGGAACTTGTTTTTGACAAGGAAAAGGTCCCAGGACTCAAGGGCACGTCCCTCAAGGACCAATTGAGACTCTTCAAGAGTGCAGGTGCTCCAAATCTCAAGCAAGGGCCAATGCCAACCAAAGTTGCTGATATCCGCAAAGCACTTGTAGATGCTATTGATCTGCATACAAATGGTGCTTGGAAGCTCATCCAAGATGAGGAGAGTGAGGGTGAGAATATTAATCTGTCAGAGGAAGAGGAGGATGAGGAGGATGAGGAGGATGAGGAGGATGAGGAGGAGGGTTGGGAGGATATAGAGGGCTATGAGAGTGAATGAGATGTTGCCAGAAAACTGCATTTTCTTTGGATATTTTTCATGTTTAGCATTATTACAACACTTTGAATGTATAAAGTAGGCTATTATACAACTATTCTACAAAAGAAAAACTAAGGGAAGTGATCACAACTCATTCTGGAATTGGATCAGTGGCTGTGCAGCACCTATTGGCCCAAGGTTGCCTCCTCGAGCTATGAGCTTCACAACAGATAGGATTTGGGCTTAGGTTTGCAGAGACAAAATCATCGATTACTATGTGGCTACAATCCTACGGGTCCATATTTTTAATTACTAGCCTTTAACCATGTAAAAGTGCTGATTTTCAAGGGTATCTCGGCACAGGTGCCACAAATAAAAATTCTGGATCCGTAGATCGATTGGAATTTGAATTCTAAGTAAAATCCGTCTGCAAATCATGTTCATACGTGCTGTTGTTGAAAAGTTATAGTCCAATCTCTTCAGACTGCCTCATTTGGCAGGGAAAACAGACTGATTTCGCATTTTTGGAGCAATAAATGCAATTTCTCCAGGGAAAACTCTCCCAGTTGATTCATTCACTTAATTCAATCAAACCCATTGCAAAAAATATATTGAATAGGTGCTGTGGAAAGTACAAACTCAATGTCTCAAGATATTGGGCCTGTGACACCATGTCACGGCATGTCACTGGTCATCACACTTACCGAGGATTGTGCAACACCAGTTGTAATCGTACAGTAGTGCGCTCAATCTGAAAGCTTATCCAGCCGACAGCATACTTTAGACCTTTCAGCTGATGTACGTTCTCTTTTGCTATATCTCCGAGATGCCTAAAGTGCTCAACCTTCCCCTCAAAAGCTTTGGTTATGGGGGACCTTGATCTGTGATTCCATCATCGTTGCAACTATGACATTTCTGGTACTGCTGTTCTTCTTAGTGAAATTTAAACTGGTTCAAATCTTCTCTTTTTCTCTAGCTCGTACAGGCAAAACTAGAATCCCCATTCAAGCCAACGAAGCGTATTATCGATCGTTTCATTATTGTAACTTTGGAGACCGCCGCCGTCACCCTGATCACGACTCTTGTTCAACTAATTTTATATTCAAGACCTCCGACAAATTCACTCAACCGAGTTGGAATGTAAGTCAAGCGATAAACTTAGTGTGAACGCTACTGATGTCTAATCTTCCAGAATCTACATTCTGGGGGGCTTGTAAGTTGTCCCTGAGCTGTGAATGTCTTTTGAGACATGCTGACTCGAATAGGTATTCCAACGTGCTCCTTAGCGTTCTGAATAGCCGGAGACGTGCTCGGCATCAGCTAGTTGAACCCAGTCAAACGTTCAGCCTTAATTTTGCTCAGCAAAGTAGTACGACGCCTCTGTCATCCATATTCGAGGAAGCCCCAAGCAGCGAAGTAGCTAGTAAAACACAAAAAGATGAGGAAAGCCATGTCAAATCCGAAAGCTCACCTCGACGTTGAGTCGACGTCCGTCTTTGACTCTGAGGCCTACTTATTCTTCCGGGAAGCCGTATTATGATTTATTGTGAGCTCTGGGGTAAATTTTCGTAGCTGAATTGAGGGTATCCGAACAATTTCTCGAATCTGACGGGAAGTTTGGCACTGGTTAAATTCCAACTAGGCAATCGGGATAACCAGAATTGACTGATGGGGGCTCACGGGAAACGCTCTTACTGATTTTTAGTCAGGTAAAAGTTGGAAAAACGACACCTACTTCATGTAATCGTAGAACTGACTGTGCCGCGACCACTGCCGCACTTTTACCTGGGTTTCTTTTTTACTGAGAGTGACGAAGCCAAACTAAGACTTTGGTCAACATATTCTGATCAACAACTTATAAAACGTTGTCCGAGTCTCAGACAACGCTAGACAGCTGTTTTGTTCAACTCTTTCTCGCTGGTGGTGAGTCTTCTGACCCTCTAATTCGAGGCATAGCTAACGAATAATTTCAGCACGCCGACGAGAATCATGTCAAGGTGAATCGAATCATTCCACAACCAAGTTTGATGCGCCACTAATGCTAAGTTCTTACATCACTGATACACGCCATTAAAAGAGTTTCCGAATCCTATGAGCCAATATAGCATTCCTGCACATCCTCGCGTTGGTATCAAACAACACCCTACGCCCAAATTTTACTCCACGACCGTCGTTACCCAGCACCCACACGTGTAGCACCCAATCTACCGTTAAAAGTCTCCACACAACGTAATTTATTTATCTAGGTCACTCGTACATACCTCACGCCTTGTCATTCTCAAAAACTAAGATAACGTATCGTGATAGATTCCATCCGCTCTAAAAGTCGGACATCGCCGCAGAAACAAAACCGGAGTCAAGGCGTATCATACTCTCCATCGTTTTTGCAATCGGCTTTTCGGTTGGCTAGCATCCAGGTCAACGTGTAGGTCTGTAAGACCATCGGTACACGATGGTTGGCGCATTTTTATGTATTCTCGAAGATGGAGCACGACCCTACTCGTCAACAGTGCATGGAGTACGCGTTCCACACTTTGACTTGATCAGTCATTTTGCATGTAGAGGTAGAATATAAACGTACGTAGCAATAACGGCGAGATACTCTCTCTGCAGAAGTTGAGTGGTTAGTTTGGTTCACACAAAGACACTGTATCGGCTTACAGAGAGCGCACACACGACTACGACGTTGACTATTGAAAGGGCTTTTGCTGCTTTAGCACAATGAATGTGTCGTGCCGACCGTCGCTTACCAACAAGGTAGATATACATTATTATTCCTATGTTTGAAGGCAAATTAGATGCATCTCTTTCGGTGAAATTCAATATCTTACCTTCGCCATATATGACGTGATGCAGATCAGCATTCCCTCCTCGCCGATCTGAAAGGGCAGCTTATGAGCAAGCGGAAAACTAGGTCCTGTATGGGTCTTACAGGAAGCAATTCCAGGAATTATCATCAGGACCAGTATTACTGGGAGACAATTAGTTGCGGATGCCGTACACCAGGGTAGAAATGAATGCTTACCAGCTTCGTAAATCATGAATACAACCCAATTCACGTACACGATGTGGTTTGCACTGGTGAAAAAGCAACCGACAAATTCTGGGTATGGCTTTGTACTAACTGAACATGGGGTGTCAGTTGCGGTGAGATGATAGTTCAGTATGACAGATGGTGGACAAACATCGCAGGTCGAGAAGGAAGATTCTCGTCACATATATTTCCGCCACGGTTGCGAGCGTAATTAGGGATATCAGAAAGACACCAATATGCCGATCTCGTTTCCATACTGCCCATACGCGTAGGGTCAAGATTGCTAGGAATAGCCATTATTAGGGACACCATATATACCATAATAAAATGAAGAGAATTCGCACCTTCAGACAAAATCCAGCCAAAAATCATCAACCCTATGATACGATGAGCCAAACGACCACGTTTTAAAGAGAATGCGTACACCCTCGTATCATATTAACAATGAGGCAGCCATGTGGGTCGATATTTGCCGCCAATTGGGCTAGAAGAGAAAGTGGTGAAACATTGTAAAGAGAGAGGTACTTCATGTGTACTCACGAGGCAGACAGAGAAAAATCGCGTCACAGAAAGGCAAATATCGCTGAACGATATAAAGCACTGTCATAAACCCCCATGGCGATGACCACACAAACTCAATCTCCATGCCCAACGTCAGTGAGCAGTCGTATACCAATAGCATCGCCGCCCCAACTGCGTGGAAGACTCATCAGCTTTAGAGGCTTGAAATCGTCGTAGGCGGCTTACCATCGAACGACTGTGTTTTTTTTTCGTTAGAGGGGAAGGACGACTTTATAGACATGTAGATACGCACCGTAGCAAGCCGTTCTGCAGCCACATAATCAATGAACTGAGCGGGCGCTGCCATGTCTAAGGTGATGTGGAATCGGGAGTGCAAAGGTGGAGAATGGGTTCTGCTCAGTGCCTTGACATGATATAGCTTGTCAGGAGAACCGAACCTGAATCAAAAGTACCGTGCGTCCCCTATCTTTAACGGTGGGAGAACTCGGACAGTGTATCAAGGGCCGAGGTATCAATACCAGTGCCAATCCCAGGCTGAACCTCGATGTTCGATCATGTTACCACCCCTAGACCTTAAAAGTCAGTTCTACATAATTTGACTGGTGAACTGGGGAGAAACGTGGACTCACTTTTGTTCTGTTTCTTTGGCAAAAACCGATGCAAAGAGAGATGATACGCGCCGAAGCCACTGAGCCCATACACGCCGATTCAGGACCACTAAAGGATCAACTTGTTCAAGGGCGAGTGTGCGATAAGGGCCAGAAAGCGGAGAGCGAAAACCGTCCACTCAAAACCCCTCGTGCGTGCGCTGCACCAGAAACGATCTTATTGGCTGATCGGGAATCACCGAATTCCTCGTTCACCTTGAATGGATGGAGGTGCATTCTTGGTGCATTTCCCCCTTCGATCCGCTTCGGTTCACCTCGCAGCACCACTAGCGTCCATCCGGGAATAATTGAATAGAGAATTGTAACCCAGGCGGCACAGGTCGCCCTTGTTTGATTCGAGTGCAGGGTCAGCACTGTCTCCTTGAAAGATGACCGGAAAGAAATACAGATTAGAGGTGGGAAGACGGAGGTAGAACTCCTGCGGGTGTCTTGTTAATAATTCTGCAGTTATACGTATGATGGCAAGATAGATTTCCGGCTTTTACCGGTTTTCTGGTCATGCCGATTACACCACGGCGTTGGTAGGCCGTGAGAATATTTTAGTCCCGCTTCTCCACAGAATGCACAGATGAAGCCTCTCTCCTCTTCCACTACACTCTTTGCGTGTACAATGCCTAGCAATCCTTCAGCAGTCCCGGCGCTCTATAGTACTCCACGTCTCACGACCTTAATCGCCAATCTCATCGTCGTTCTCACCGCCGGAACCAATTAAGTATGTGAGTTGGTGTCAGGTTGACGTCTGTTATTAAACCTAATGGATTTCGCTTGCAGGTTTATTCAGGCGAGGAGGTTTGAATTTCGGGCACATCTTTTCGACGATCTTTGTTGAAGTGAGGATGAGTGGGTAGTGATTCAGACCCCCCTTGAAGGAAGCAGGAGTTGCTGTCATGGCACTTGCGCTGGGCCTAGTAGTGGGCAAGCTGTCTTTGGCTTTGGAGAAAAAGCATTGGCTTCACGACGACTAGTGCGTCGTTACAGTGTTTTGCAAAGAATCTCGGATTTGGAATTTCCGCGTGTCCGGCGTCCGGCAAATGAATTTGTCAGCCATGCGGCAAATTCCGATCTTGACTTCAACCGCAAGTTCCTCTGCTGCCCATTCGTCAAGAACTCTCTACATGGCATGAATGAACGCAACTCTAACGTTGACATTGGCCTGATGGACAACCGCGACACTGACACTTGGTAAGTTTACGGCTATAGTTATAGTGAGACTGAACAGGGAAAAAGATCTACAACTACACTGGTAGCTGTACAACTGCCTGACGACCACGACAAGGGAAAATGATTCGTGACGATGCGGACCGCACTGTAGCGCTAACGACAACGGGACGAGGGAACCACTTCGATATTGAGGAAGTCTGCAACATTGACGAGGACGCCAACCACGACATCTCCAATGTATTCTACGCTGCACAGTTACACAAACCAGACGAAGGCCGCCCTCCGCCCTTGCGGTCAATACCAAAGCGCAAAAGCCAAACACCGCCGCTGTGAGCGCGTGTCTGGCCGTCGACACCATCTCTCGCTTCCACACCGATTGGACGATACCCTTCACACCTTTCGGAATAGCCCTGTGAGTTTTATTTGAATCGCAGCACGATACATTTTGATACTATGTAGATACGATATCTTATAGCCCATCCTTCGGATCTTCTACATACAAGTCCCCAGAAATGGCGATGCAATCCGTGCTACACGCCCCTCCTCCTAACGCCATTCAAAGTCCCCCGAGAAGCTCACGTTGTCGAACCTGAAGACTGGTATTGGAAATCCCCGATGATGGAGACTAGTGGAGGTTGCTGGGAGGCTCGTTTGGGAGGCGCGTAAGGAGCATTTGAAGGTGTGGGAGAAGGAGAATCTGGCGAGGACGTGAAGTGGGAGAAAGAGAGGAAGCGGAAACAAATGTATCACGGAGACCTCAGGCTTATAAGCACGTTTGCATACAGGTCGACAGCGGCGAAGCGACGCTAACCACCTTGGGGACTGCCAGTTGATAACCGCCGCTTCCACCTGTAGATACTCAGTCTTCTTGTATACCATACATATACATAATAGTAGTATTGAATCACTGTACATGTAAAATGACCATCTACGTGCACAGAAAGAGTGGAGATGATAGAGTTTGGCGTGCCGGATCCGCCAGTCCGCCGGACGGCCGGAATTTCCATATCCCAGATGTCCTCGTGTTTTGCATGTGAGATTGGAATCCAAATCTCACGAAAAGTTGTTTGTTCTTGTATTAGTTGTAATGTGTGATGTTGCCTTGAGTCAAGGTGACCTCGAAGTCACTTCGATTCGACGGCAACACTAGAATCAACATTCAATCATCGACGTAAATGCGGGTTCCAACCAAGTTCCAAGGGAGGGGACTCCTCCACTTGAAGAAATAAGGATCTAGTCGGAAGACTAGATCCTTTATCGGCTACCCGTGACCTTCACTAAGAGCGCTCTGGCAGAGGAAGTTCAACGTTCAACGCTGTGACACCGAGGCCCATCAGTCACAGACCACAAGAACAAACAAGTTTTCGTGAGATTTGAATTCTAATCTCACATGCAAAACACTGTAGTGCGGCCATTCGAGAGTGCGCTTTCACGCTTGTTTCACGCGATATTCGGCGGCACACGACCTGAAGCCTGAGGCCTGAGGCCTGGGCCCGGGGCACATCGGAGTGCTTTCTTCATTTGGCTTTCACTGGGCCTAGATGTTTGACTGTAGCCGAGCCCCGAGCCCCCCTGAAAGGGTTCGGTGACCACTCATTCCGTTTCATTCGGGGATTCTCTTCTCATACATTGGGTCAGTACTGACCGGGTACTTACATGAATTTCTTTCATTTCATCCAGCATACACTTCCCAGCTCGGATCACGACTCCCTATCACGCACACCCAGCTGAATATGGTCGGCTTGATAAGTGAGTGCCACCTTCTCTCCCTTTCTAGCCTCGCATTGATCCCATTCAGTCGGTGTATACGCTAGCGGCCCAATTTGGGGCCGAATCGTCGACCGCAGAGGACCCCGCATTCTTTTGGCGTGCGGGTTCATGTTTCTCTTCGGGGGATACTCTGGGATCCGACACCTCTACGATGAGGGGGTACCTGACGACGCAGCGTTTCAGGTGTAAAGATAAGCCAACTCACCAACATTGAAGGAATCCACCGTGTTGGCTGCACCACCCTTTTTCTAACAACGTACCCAGTACGTTAACGGGCAGAGTAGGCAGAGAAGCAAAGAGGGTCGTACCAGCTGGCGACCAGATTGCCTTGCTTATGGGTAACGTGCGCCTCCTCTCTGTCGTACGTACGCTGTTAGTCGTCGGGAACGGCGGCGGAGATGAGGGGGACGCACCATTTTGTGGTTGTTGTGGATGACACCCCACGACTTTCGAATTCCACCTCCAACCGTGCACTCTCAGCCGCTTATTCCAGATTGTGACTCCCTACAAAATGTATTTATTCTCTCTTAATTTCTCCCTTAATTTCTATAAATACCAAAACTACTTATGTGATTGTGTTCGCAGGGGGTGGGGGAAGAGGAAGGCTGGAGGAATGATGTATTGGTATATAGTGTGTACAATTCTACAGACTATTATCCGCGGCGGTGGCGGGGCGGGATGCACAGTAAACATAGCAAGTGCGTTAGTGGAACTCACCCACTTGAGTGCGACGCCGCGGCCGGCAGGCTGTGATTGATCGACTCCGGTGCCTGCGAAGGAGTGTAATAGGGCAAGCAAGCCAAGATGAATAGATAGGAATGTGGTTGTTCATGTCGCAGTCGCGGTCGCGAACTTTATTTCTGTTCAATAGTGGAACCAACATAATGGTCAATAGACATGGGCTTCGATACTCCTATCGATGTTTGATCGATGTCATAGGTTCAAGAGGACAGGTCATAGAAGTTTAGACTGTTTCAAAGTTTGTCGGAATACCATATCCCTCACTGCACTCCTTCATCAGCACACCACCCAAAGAAAAGATGACCAAACACACCACTGGCGATGATACCAGCCGTAGTAGCCGTATCCGTCACGCTCGTGAAGAATGCATAGAATTTTCTTGGGTTAGGCGAGTATTGTCTGTGGATAGCGCTAAACTTGTTCCGGAGGTCTTGTATGCATGCAAATCAGAAGAATCGTTCGAGGAGGCAGAACCAAGGAACAAACATTTGGAAACGCTATCCAGATCGTTTTTCCTGTCCCCGTAACTGCGGATGTACTTTGACACTCTAACGCGAAAGTCAAAAAATATCAACGCAGAAAAGGGCAAAGACAGACTGGATCCCTAACTTGAGCTTCTTCTCCAAGATATCACATTTATTGAGGAATAAGACCAGATCAACGTTGGCGAGGAGCTTGTTTGAGCAGACAGCTTTCCAGAGAAGTATGGATC